GTACTGAATTCGAAATTGAAATTTTTGTATCTCTGCGAATTTGATGTATCGATTGATTTTGTTTTCTTCGTCTACTTGTGAATTTGTTTCAGTTTTGTAATTAGACGAAAGGAGAAACAGAAAACTTGATATTTTTTTTTCGTTAACTGCTGTACCTAATGCTTGAGTAATTAATAATTCTATCTGATCAACAACCTCAGAATACAAACAGAATAGATTTCAGAAACCATCCTTAACGAATTTGTTTGTTTCAACTAACTTCAGATTTGTTCTAGTTATCATAGTTCGAGAGAAAATTAAACATAAAAAGGTACCTTAAACTTACGTTCGTCACTTTAAATTACCCGATGATAGTGCGGCTCTGCGTCGAAAGTTTGCAGTAGAATGTTTAAAATTCTGCGTATTTTAATCTTAATATGATCGTTTTCTAAAAACTCTATTACAGAAAGATAATCTGAAACAAAGTCTGTTATCTCGTTTTTCTCGTTTGACATATGCTGAATATGTTCGTACATGTATCGCACAAGGTTCTAAACATGCCCATTAGAACCGTAACGATCGATTACTTACAGAACTCCTCTTATTTTATCAGATTTTAAAACACTGAGTTTGTTTTGGGTTTTTCTCAAAATATTTTTTAAAGATAACAAGATAGCAGGAAGGACGTTGTGCATCATGCTATCCCTTGACTATTTTTATGATAATAAATAAAATAAATGAGTTGTGTGAATATTATGTCTACATATTCTAACGCAAAGGCACACCATCATCTATAATCTTGTAAATAACTGGTCGCAGCCTGATATGTGCAGAAAGGAATCTCAATATTTTCGTTCGTCTGCATCGACTGTTACTAGATGCACAGTTATTTATTTATTCTTTAAAAATCTTCATCGTCTTTTAGTCGATGCATCTAGCTGCATCGAGCGATGCTTGATTCAACTTTTGTCTTTTTACTATGATACCAGCTGCATCCACTAGTGTATCTATTAAACAGAAAAGTATAAAGATATGATGATACGATAGAATAAATAAATACACTAGTAGATTATGGCCGATTGTTACATAATCTACTATTTTTTCTAAAGCAAATAAGAGAAAGAACTCAAAAAGGATCCAGAATCCTTTTCAGTAACTAAATTACCGTAAGGTAATCGTATATGATGAACATCATGCTTGGACTTGTGTAGAATGTGTATCCGAGAGTTACTGACGCTCAAACCATTCGGATTAATAATACGGTCGAGCCAGAATGTCATTTTAGACCTGTACTCTCTATATCTATCGTACTGACCGAGTGTGGTTGTATTACTACATCAATGACCCACGAAGTAAGGAGAAATGTTGGATGGATTCGTACGGAAAAAAGATGCGAAGTTGTAAGAAGCGTACACGGCTGCCTTGTTTAGCTCTCTTTTGTGCTGGAATTTAAGTCAAAGATCGTTCAGCTTCAAGGGAGAAACTCATGTGCACTTTTAAGGCTTTGACTAGTTCACACAACTGCCGGAATTGTTCAGAGCCGAAGATCATTTATTTTACCTTCGGCAAGCTGTTTAATCTGTTTTTTATCTTTTTCTGATAGTTGATTTGATGTGAGATCGAGTGTTTGTAATGTGCGATTGACATTAACGAGTTCAACGATGGTTCGCACACTCCTACTGGTAATTTGATTATTATGAACATGAAAGAAAGCCAGTGTTGCATTTTGTTTCAATGCATTCACTAACAACTCCATGCCATCGTCACTTATTTTATTGTTATCCAGGAGAAGACATTGTAAAGTTTTATTTGTTGCAAGCATATTGGCAATGTATGTCGCCGCCACATCGTCAATATCATTGTAACCCAAGTTAACTGCCTCGATCTTTGTATCACTTTCTAACAGCTTGATGACCACCTTCACACTTCTTGCCGATAAACAACAAGCTCGTAACCAAAGCTCTGCGACACTTTTCGAATTTGATTTCAATGTATTACACAAGTATTCTATTGATGTTTCACTTATTTTAGTCCCGTCGAAACCCAACTTCTTCCAGTTTTCGTTCACTTTTAATTGTTCGCAAACTATTTTCATGTCATCATCTGTTAGTTGTTTCCCTATCCATGCAAATTCAACCGATGTTCTACGTTCATCTATGTACTCCTCTAGTTCTTTATTCCGATGTTGCAATAACGGTCTTCCAACGCCGCTTTCAACGAATTTCTTCGTAGTAGCAGAAGCTTTACTAGCACCTTCTTCTTTCATACTACTCAGCTTCTTTGCTGCTTCTTTTCCTTCGTGGTCGTCGTCGTCGCCAACTTCTTCGAGATGAACAATATGCAGTCCTCCGTGATGATACAGCGGTTTACTGACGACTCGCATATGAGTGCCGGGCATGAGGAGAATTTCATCTTCGTTGGGAAAACACGTGTACGATGAAATTGACTTGCCGTGGAGACATTGAATGTTGAACAGAGTGCTCTGAGACGACGACGACGACAAGTGTGAGGAGTCGAGAAACGATTCGATGACGTTGACTGACGCTGAACACGACGTTACACTCCACCACGTGACGATCTGATCTTTTTTGAAGGAGTCACTCACGTCCCTGTTGATACCGCGCCACACCGTCCGTTTCAAAGACGGAAGTTTATTGGCAGCCACGTCGAGCAGTTTGAGGTAGGAGAAGAATGGTTTCACTTTTGTACGGTCGTCGTCTCTTAGTACTTGGTTAAGGAGACGGTAGAAACTCGTGTCGGCCGACATTTCCATCGTGTAAAGGTAGAAAGCGGCCGCTTCATCTTTCGTCAGTTTATCATCGTTCGGAAACGGACAGTGTTTCTTGGCCAATTTAACGAAACGTTCGAGTTCCGGTATGACATTGAGCAGACAAATTGGTTCAACAGCTTCCTCAAGGGAAACTAGTTTCGCCGTTAAATAACCGTAGCACGCTGGAAGACGTGTCGTAACAATTTCAATGTCCGTGAAACGAGAACCTGTGCTTGTATTACTCGCCATCACTGCGATTCTACTGTCTAAAATCACCTGTGTTCTCTGCCACTTTACTCTACCAAAGTAAACACTTTGTACTTTTGTTCTTTTCTTTTGTTTCTTTTCGTTCACACTGGCAAGAGCAAGGCAAACAATAATTTCACCGTCGTTGGATACGATTGCTCAACAAAATGAAATAAAAAAAGAAATTCATTGTCATTAATGGAACCATCACGAGGCCTCTACAAAGCACACACACACAGTTAGTTTTTTAGTCGCAACAGTGGGCTGTAAAAATGCTTTATAGTTACTTGCACATTTTCACAGTGCAACGTTGTAAATTTCTTCGGATCTTGCAACTTCACCTTTGAGAACAGAAGATCAGTTCGATTTTGTCCGCAGAATAGACTAGCGATTTTTGCTACCCACTTTTCCTTTTGAATCTCAAGGAGAAACACTGGTAGCTGTGTGCACTTTCCTTCTTTTAGCGAAACGCATAGATGATGATGATGATGATAATGTACACATCTTTTTGCCATATTTTTCGTTCCATTTATTGATCTTTCCTTATAAGTTCAATAAAGAAAGAAGAAGTGTGTGTGTGTACGCACACACACACATCTCGTGAATATGTTTTTCTGAAAGAAGTGAAGAAAGAAAAATTTGTCTTTCTTGTTAGTACTAAGCGATTCTCTCTCCCTTCTTTTTACTGCGTGTGCCGATTGTTAATGATCTAGTAAGAAAGAAGGAGAAGAAAAATCACAGATTTCTTGATTAGAACAGACAAAATCATCAGCATCACCACAGTTCCTTGTTTACCAAACAGCAGCCTTTTTTATCAAAACTT